TTTTTTCGTCATCCCATACTGTTATTTCAATTTAACTCAACTCATTTGACAAATGAAATATCATTCATAACGGACGGCGTCCGTTAAAAAATAACGGACGCATATGCGGCCGTTAAGAAATAATGCTTTTATTGAAATACAAACAACTACTTATTATAATGAATATGAAAATTAAAGTGACAGTTATTATTGCTAGAAATCTGTAGTCCATCGTAGGAAACTTGAGGACCACTATCACCTGTTGATGTTACACTTGATGAAGAAGCTGTGGCTATGGATGTTGTAATTTCAGAGTTTCCATTGGACCTTTGAAATAGTTGTTTGGTGATTTTTAATCGCTTCGAAACAGAATTTTCAATATACGATTCCGCTACCGCAGATGAATCCCAGCCTCCAAGTTCCTTCACTGCTAGGAGATCGCCGCCATTGTCTGCAAGCATGGTAGCGGATGACCTCCGAAACGAATGGCCCGTGTATAACTCTGGGTTTTTTAATTTTAAGAACTTAGCAATTTTCCTGGGAACACCCCCAATGGTATGAATGCCCACAACCTGCCTAACACACTTTTCTTTGCGGTAGGCAATGAAAAATCGCCGAGTTTCTAAATGTTGAGGACGTAATTCCGCGTATTTTTTGTATAACTGATACGCATTGAAGGGAAGTCCTTCTTTCGGAATTAGAAACACTCTGCTTTTCTTATTTTTTGTGATCCGCAATGTAACTATTACGTTTTTGTTGGTGTCTTCAAAGTCCTCCACGTTCAACTTCAAAAGCTCATCACCCCTACAAGCGCCAAATATTCCACATATTAAGATGACTTTTTCTAGGAGCCATACACCATCATCAGCTTCCAATAAAAATGTCATGACTTGCTCTTCAGACAAAATGTTAGACTTTTTTGGTCTGTAACCTTCAGACTTTCTTTTCAAAAAGGCGAATAATTTTCCGAATCTGTAATGTAATAAACATCCCCAATACACAATAAATACACTACATGAATAAATTACCAACCTTGAAATGTCAATGTTGTCATATACCTTCAAAGTGAGTTTCAACATTGAAACTTTTGTCCATAATGAATTGGGCGAGTACATTTCCGATTTTCCCTTTACGTACGCTAATAACACGTCTTCATTTACTAAATTGATCCTCTTAATCTTAAGCCATTCCTTGAAATCTTCGTATTCTTTTTGATATCGCTCCCTGGTCTTTTCTGGTAGCAAATCGACACTTGCAGCCATGGAGTCTGCTAATACGTCTGGAGGAATATTGATATTTCCTTCAATTACGTCCATATTTTTGGAAAACCGTCGTAGAGCTTCTCAGCACGCGTTTTTAACGAATTGTTTATTTTTCAGTAGTTGCGTCCATGACAACCGCTAACATGTGACCATAAACATACCATGATCAAGATAATTATTATATTTAAGTATTGCGAAAAGATGGATCTTTATGAAGTCGAAATATATAATTTCCACATAATGGGATGACGAAAAATCTTGAACGACACACGGCCGATACGCAAATAACGGACTTGGTTGAATATAAACCTCGGCTGACGCCTCGGTTTACAAACTTCAACCACGTCCGTTATTTGCTACATATCGGCCTTATGACGTTAATAACTATAACCGTAAGGGTAGATAAAGTGAAACAAATTATTGTGCTTTCTAATGACATCTGTCATTCTCATTTCAAATGCATGATAAAAATGACGTTCAGAACATATGACAATTCTGTTTCTATAGATACGGTCGCGACGGCAGAACCTAAGCTTGCTATTTTTGACACCTCTAAATTAAATTCAGAATTGTCGGAAGCTTTACAATGATTTATCTTGCTTCTGCTACAAAATAAAGGTTTGTATTATACACGACGACAAAGGTAAACTAACCATCTCGTGAAAGTTAATTCACTCGTGGCTGCGCCACTGGTGAATTAACATCTTTCACTCAGTAGTTAAAATATCCCTTTATCATCTTGTATAATAATAGTTATTATAACCGACTTTGTGGTTCTCTGGTTGACCTGGGGCTATAAATCCGGAGGTCGGGTGTTCGAACCTGGATTGAGGTTCATTTTTCATCTGTGGCAGAGATGGGAATTACCTTATACCAGTTTCGAGCATTCTGCCGGCTACTCCGAATTAGGGTTTCCTGCAGTTTTCCTAATTCGTAAGGTAAATACCGGAGTAGTATAGAACAACTTAAGACCTTCTGCAGAGGAACCTCTAAAAAGCATTATGCGGGTCACTCTGTAATTGGGCGCAAGCCTTTTGAGGGCCCAGAACAAGGGATGGATAATAAATTGCAAGTTCTACATTAACTTTGGAACAAATTCCAAAGTAATAAGAATACTGCCTCAATAAAAGATTGTTCTCACAAAGTTCTCAACTAACAATAAAAAGACATAAAAGTACTTTAAGCATTAATATTTACACTGGTCTACACAAAAGTTTCTCATAGTAGTAGTGGTAGTAGCAGTATAACAAGAATAAAACATCCATTTCAATAAAAGATGTTGCATTTAGGACGGGAAGAGAATTTTAACGTCTATTCTTATAAAATTGTAAATTTTTAAATGAAATAGACAAAACCAAAAACCTTTCAATTGTAAATGAAACAAAACGTACAGCTGCAGCGAAACTCGACGTTTTTCAATGTGAGAATGTAAATGTAGAGAAATAAATACTACCAGAATGTAAACATTTCTCAGCGCTCTATCGATTAGAAGTTATCAAGAGGTTTTTAATTAAATTTTCTAGTAACTTAGCGAATCTAGAAAAAGGGTTGAAACTAAAGGAAGTTTTAAACTACATCACTGAGAACTAACTTTGCAAAGTTCGTAAGTAAAGAGAAAACGAACGGTTTGCTTTAATTAACATTGCCTAATTACATAGACATCATTTAAATTGAAGCATGATCAGCTTTATTAATATGGCGGATGAGCATTGCTGATTGATAACAAGTTCATTTGTAAAATTCAATTAAATGCGTGCGAAAGGTGTTGGTATGTGAAACAATGGTTTCCCTTCCTGTGTGAAATTAGCAGCCAGTTTTCAGCAGCCAAATTTCCGAAGACGCTCGAACGTGCAGATGGCGCAGTTTAAGAGAAATATGTAAAAAGTTTGGCAGCCATGGCTGCAATTACTAGGATATATACTATATACTGTTAATTTAGCGACTGTCCGAGGGGGTGGAATCCGTCCCTAACGTACAAAAAATTTGTTTAACCCCCACATAAAAAAGGTCCTTTTCGCTTACAGTGTTGCACCAATGGAAGAGTCGACTCTATCAAGAATTCAGTCTTTGATTCACCCTGTTTCCTCTTCCGACCGCGTTCCCCCCGGGTCTTCATTCACAAAAGCCTGTAGTGTAGATGCTTCGCTAAATGTTCTGGTATCCTTTACGGTTCCAGCTTTTGCATTCTAGTCTTCAGTGGAGTTTCGGTAAGGGCGTTACCTGGTATTTGGTCTTCTTAATTAGTGCTATTGGGTTACTCATGAATATAACGATACTAATTGGTACATTTACAAACGGATTTAGTAATTTAATTACACGTCATATTGTTGCAGTACAGTACGTTTGGAAAGCCGTTGCTACAAGTGCGGGACCCTTAATGAGATTTGAACCAGATTCGATTTTTCACAACCGCTCCGTCCTGTATTTGTGGTTGGAACGTAAAATATAACAACGCGAGTTACGGTAGTTATCGTTAAAAAGGAAAAAAGTTTGAAGTAAATAAATTCTAACGTGTCGGCTTTATACACGTTGCAAAAATACGGATAATCACAAAAATTAAAACGACGGTAATAGACAAGTAACGGCGGGTAAGAATTGTTTACTTCTCGGTTACGTATGGAGTTAAAAAAATTGCTGTGAAGTGAAAATATTTAGTTATCACAAAAAACCGTTGTAACAGCTGCTGTGTAAATGTCTACAATCTGAAGAAGGGATTGCTTGTTCATAATGGTAAATCATCCTAATTGACGCATTAAAAAAATTTAGTTCAAGAAACATTAAAGTGCACATTTTTACGTAGTGAAGATTTCTCCTACTTGTGATAAGCTAACCAATTCTTTGGTCAAACTCGTTTACCCCAAACAGCGCCCGATCCGTTACTAATATACTCAGTGACATGGAAATTGCAACACCAAGAAGGAGTTGGAATTTTTTGACCAAACTTGGCAGAAACGTTTAGCTACTAAAAGGTAACAATTGATTAAAATTTAAAAGAAAAAGGATGAAATATAAACATATTTTTATTAATAATAATAGTAGTCCCTCCCTATTGGTTACGCACTCCCTCACGCTTCGTAGCATCGATTTTAGCAGACGGCCGATTTCCTCTTGAGGTATTGTGTCCCAAGCAACTGTGAGTAACCTCTAATTCATTGTGTAGAGCCTGCAGCGTCTGCGGAGGATGCGGTAAGTTCATCAGCCTTCTCTTCATAATGTCCCAAACTTGCTCGATAGGCGATATACTGGGAGATCTGGGTGGCTATGGCAAGAAATTGACATTATCATGTGCAAATAAGTCCATAGAACGTCTTTCAATGTGGGGAGGGGCATTATCCTGCTGGAAAAGTGAGTCTTCCAACTGCTGAAGAGATGGAAGAATATCGGGTTCTATCACGTCATCCACATATCGCTGGGGGGGGTCATATTACCTCGAATGAATAACAAACGAGCCCTACTCCCATAAGTTATAGTACTCCATACCATAGTCCCCACAGCTTAGTGCACATGCCTCATAACATAAAATTTAACATTGCGACGTTCCCCACGTCTTCGGCTGCCCTTCATACGGCCATCATGCATACCCAAACAAAATCGGAATTCATCACTGAACACCACTCAATGCTACTCTAGGTTCCAGTGCAGTCGCAACCTACACCACTCCAAACGCTGCTGGCGGTGTTGAGCTGTTAATGGTAACAAAAGATGTGGCCGATAGGATTGCAAGTCGTAAGCTCTGATTCTGCGGTAAACCGTTCGAAGTGTTACAGGACGACCTTCGTTAGCTAACAATTGATTGGCAATTGACCTGGTACTAGAGAATCGGTTTCTTGTTGCCATAAGTCAAAGATGGCGATCCCGCACTTCAATTGTTCTTTTTGGCCCCCCACCCTTTTCTGCCCCCTCCCTTACCTCTCTATGATGATCCTGCCCCTTCCCAAATCCCTGCTCGATTGCAACGAATCACGGTGGATTGACTTCGGTTAAGGTGACTTGCAATTTTTGTGAACGAAAAACCACCTCCGCCCAAACCAACAATACGACACCTGTCAACTTCTCTTAATTCGCGGTAATTTCCACTTTGGCGTACCTAGGCATGATCACAGCCTCAAAAGAAACGATTAAAAGCGAAAACAATAAGAACTGAACAAAATCTCCCAAAAGGTACACGATATAAGAATACTAGAAAAAAATGAAAGAGCTGTCAAATAAGCCATTACCACTTGATCCATATGAATGAAATTTTAATCAATTATTACCTTTTAGTAGTTAAACGTTTCTGCCAAGTTTGGTCAAAAAATTCCAACTCCTTCTTGTTGTTGCAATTTCCATGTCACTGAGTATACTTTCTAATTCATTGTCACAGAAAGAGGATTGTATCCAGCACCATTTTGTATCAACATTGTCACCTGTAAGAGGCCTAATGTGAGGTACTCATTTTTTGTTTGAATTTACGTAAAATCATAAGTATGAGTTTTAAAGGAGAAAAACTATCAACTTGAATGAGGTATAAAAAATAAATAAGAAATTTTTTGGTTTGAAAATTCTTAAAGAGCTCAACCTATAGGCAATTAAAGCCGTCTTGCATGTATTACTGTTTACAAACCTCCAAAAATTAGATTTCTTGGTTTTGTCTATAAAATTATTTCCCTTAAAATCAATCGAAGAAAATTTCCGATTTAGTGGGTTTATTACAATGGTATATTTTAGATTAACTGTGGTAATATTTGGTTACTAGATTCGATATTAAGCCCAGATCGAAAAAAGATGCTGCTACAACATTGAATTTGAATTTATAGGGATAATACTGCATAGAAAAACTTATAATGCTTAATGGAAATATTTCCATTAATGTAAATTTCAGGAAACCGGCAAGAGTAGTCAAGTAATAATTTTGGCTAAAAAATTTGCGTAAATAGTTTACCTATACATTCAAAATTTTGATTTTGAAAAGAAAAAGAAGTTTACCCAAAATTGTCCTGAAACCTTTATTTTCATACCTACTTTCTGTCAGGAAATTTGAGTTTCCATGACAGAGGCAGAGCAGACTACGTTTCCTGTCGCTTGTTACGGGCCGCAGCTATCACTTTCCGGTCGCACCGTCACTTTAAGCAGGGCGCCCATTTAATCGGATCGGATCGG